CTGAACTGAACGGACTTCCCTACCTAAAGGGCTTCCCTGGTGCCTCATTTAGTAAAGAACCCACCTGTCAATGCAAGAGATGCAGGTTCAGTCCCTGGGATGGGTACACACCTGGAGAAGGAAATGGCAAACCACTCCAGTATTCTTGCCTGAAAAATTCCATGGATAGAGGAGCCTAGCGGGCTATAGTCCATGGGATCACAAAGAATCAGACATGACTGAGCGTACACACATACAAAGGAAATGTTGAAAGGCCTTCTCTAAATGTAAAAGAAGTAAGAATACATAGAGAAGAGGAAATCACAGTTAGAAAGCAAATCACCTAAATAAGCCAGTATACAGATTTTTAAAAAATGTCTGTGAAAGTGATGAACAGCAAAATGAACAGCAAAAGGATGAACATGAAGATGAAGAGGACATCAAAATCCTAAAATGTGGGAGAAAAGAGTACAAAAATGTCCAATTTTTTTATCATTTCCTAGAATGTGTTTGAGCCTGTATGATTACTAGTCTAAGATAGGTAGAATATAATATGATATATACATACTTGAAAAACAAGGTAATCACAAATTAAAAGCATACAACAGATTCACAAAAACCTAAAAGAACATAATACAAAAATAATTCAAACCAAAAAAAAAAAAAGAGGGGGACAAGGAAGAAATTTAAAAATCAATGGGAAAGCAGGACTTAAGATAGCAATAAATACATATCAATTAATAATTACCTTAAATGTCAGTGGATGAAACATCCCAATGAGAATACACAGAGTGGAAGACTGTGTGAGAAAATGAGAGCCTACATTATGTTGCCTACAAGAGACCCAGTTTAGAACAAAGGACACACAGATTGAAAGGTGATGGGAGAAGATTTCATGAAAATGGAAATGACCAAGTGGGAATCACAATATACATGTCAGACAAAACATACCTTAAAGGCCATAAAAAACATAAAGAAGGACACTATATAAAGATAAAAGGATCAATACAATAAAAGAACTTTATACTCATCAACATATATGCACCTGATGTTGGAGCACCCAAATACATAAAACAGATTCTAACAGATATAAAGGGAGAAACCAACAGAAATATAGTAATAGTACGAGACCTTTAACACCCCATTCCCATCAGTGGACAGATCTTCTAGATAGAAATCAAGGGACCAGGGATCCTAAATGACATGATAGAACAGTTAGACCTAATTGATATTTTCAGGACATTACTGGAGAAGGAAATGGCAACCCACTCCAGTACTCTTGCCTGGAAAATCCCATGGACGGAGGAGCCTGGTAGGCTGCAGTCCATGGGGTCGCTAAGAGTCAGACATGACAGTGACTTCACTTTCAATGTTTACTTTCATGCATTGGAGAAGGAAATGGCAACCCACTCCAGTATCCTTGCCTGGAGAATCCCAGGGATGGAGGGGCCTGGTGGACTGCCATCTATGGTGTCGCACAGAGTCGGACACAACTGAAGCGACTTAGCAGGAGCAGCAGGACATTATATCCATAAAAAACAGAATACACATTCTTTAAATGCATGAAATGTTCTCTAGGATTGACCACATACTAGGGCACAAAAACAGGCCTCAACAAAGAATACAGAAATTATCTCAAGCATCTTTTCTGACCACAATGGGATGAAACTAAAAAAATCAACCACAGAAAAAGAAATGAAATAAAAATGATCACAAGGCAATATGCTACTAAAAAAATCAATGAGTCAATGATGAAAGAGTAAATTAAAAAATACCTTGAGAAAAATGACAATGAAAATACAACCATATAAAATCATTGAGATGTAGCAAAAGGAGTTCTTAAAGGGAAATTCACAGCTTATACAGGCCTTTCTTATCAAAACAAGAAAGAAAACCTAATCTACCACTTGAAGTAGAAAATGAACAAACAGAACATAAAATCGGCAAAAGGAAGGAAATAATCAAGATCAAAAAGGAAATAAATAAAATAGTGGTTAAAAAATAGAAAAAAAAAGTCAATAAAACCAAAAGTTCATTCTTTGAAAGGGTAAACAAGATTGATAAACCTCTGGCCAGGCTCACCAAGAAGAAGAGAGAGAACCCAAATAAACAAGAAATGAGAAAGGAGACATAAAAACTGATACACAGCAATAACAAAGACTATAGGGAATGCTATAAACAATTATATGCCAACAAATTTGACAACCTAAAAGAAATGGACAAGTTTGTAGAAACATGCCCACTAAATATGAATCACAGCCCACCAAAATTGAATCAAGAAATAGATCATTAGAGAAGACTAATCACTAGAGGTAAAATAGAATATGTAATTTTAAACCTTCCTATAAACAAAAGTCCAGGACCAGATAGATGGCTTCACAGGTGAATTCTACCAAACATACAAAGAATAAATGACACTGATCCTTCTCAAACTCTTACAAAAAATTGAAGAGGAGGTCCAAAGACTTTCTATAAAACCACCCTGATACCAAAACCAGACAAAGACACCACCAAAGAAGAAAATGACAGGCCAATATCTTTGAGGAATATAGATGCAAAAATTCTCAGCAAAATATTAGCAGACCAAATCCAAAAGCAACAACAAAACAATGATCATATACTACAACCAAGAGTCATTAAGTTCACAGGGATGTTCAACATATACAAGTCAATGTGATACATAAACAATAGACAAAATCACATGATCATCTCAAGAAAAAAGACCATCTGACAAAATTTCACATCCATTCATGATAAAACTCTTACCAAAGTGGGTATAAAGGGAACATATCCCAACATAATAAAAGCCATTTATGACAAACCCACAGCCAATGTAATAGCTAATGGTGAAAAGCTGAAAGCCTTCATGCTAAAATCTAGAACAGGACCAGGAGGCCCACTCTCACCTCTTCTATTTAACATAGTATTGGAAGTCCTAGCCACAGAAATCAAACAAGAAATAAAATTTATCCAAGTTGGAAGGGAAGAGGCCAACTGTTATATGCAAATGACTTAAATATAAGGCATTTTACCATCAGGGCTTCCCTGGTAGCTCAGACAGTAAAGAATCTGCCTGTAATGCAGGAGACCCGGGTTCAATCCCTGGGTTCGGAGGATCCCCTGGAGAAGGGCATGGCAACCCACTTCAGTATTCTTGCCTGAAGAATCCCCATGGACAGACGAGCCTCCTGGGCTATAGTCCACTGGGTCACAAAGAGTTGGACACAACTGAGCAACTAACACATACATACCATCAAGCTCCTAGAAGAGATCATAGGCAAAACATTTTCTGACATAAAGTATATCAATATATTCTTAGGTCAGTTTCCCAAGGCAATAGAAATAAAAGCGAAAATAAACAAATAGGACTTAATCAAACTTACAAGCTTTTGCACAACAAAAGAAGCCATAAAGGAAAAGAACCTACATAATGGGAGAAAGTATTTGCAAATAATGAGACCAACAAGGGCTTTGTTTCCAAAATATGAAAACAGCTCATACATACAACTCAACAACAACAATAAAAACCTAATTGAAAACTGGGCAAAAGACCTAAACACATATTTCTTCAAAGAAGAAATACAAATGGCCAATAGGCACATGAAAAGATGTTAAACATTGCTAATTATTAGAGAAGTACAAATCAAAACTACAACAAGGTACCACCTCACACCAGTCAGAATGGCCATCATTAAAAACTACAAATGACAGGCTGGAGAGGATGTGAACAAAAGGGAACCCTCCTGCTCTGTTGGAATGTAAGTTGGTATAGCCACTATGGAAAATATTTATAGTATAGAGATTTCTCAGAAAACTAAAGAATTACCATATGATTCAAGCTTTTTGCTGGCAGGAAAGCTATGACAAACCTAGGCAGTGTGATGAAAAGTGGAAACATTATTCTGCCAACAAAGGTCTGTATAGTCAAAGCTCTGGTCTTCCCAGCAGTCACATACAGTTGTGAGAGATGGACTGTAAAGAAAGCAGAGCACCAAAGAATTGATGCCTTCAAACTGTGGTGATGGAGAAGGCTCCTGAAAGCCCCCTGGACAGCAAGGAGATCAAACTAGTCAATCTTAAGGGAGATCAATCCTGAATACTCATTCGAAGGATTGATGCTGAAGTGGCAGTATTTTTTTTGTTCACCTGATGAGAACAGCCAACACATCGAAAAAATCCCTGATTCTGGGAAAGATTGAGGGCAGAAGGAGAAGAGGGCATCAGTGGATAAGATGGCTGAACAGCATCACTGATGCAATGGATGTGAACTTGGACAAACTTTGGAAGATGGGGAGGGACAGGGAGGCCTGGTGTGCTGTGGTCCATGGGGTCGCAGAGAGTCAGACATGCCTGGTGACTGAATAACAACAGTGATTCAACAGTCCCACTTCTAGACATATATCCAGACAAAACTCTAATCCAAGAATATACATGCACCCCTGTGTTCATAGAATCACTATTCACAATAGCCAAGACTGGGAGACAACCTAAATGTCCATCATAAGTGAATAAAAATGTGATACATATATACAATGGAATACTACTCAGCCATTTAAAAAAGAATGAAATCATGCTATTTATAGCAACAAGGATGCAACTTGAGATTATCATACTAAGGGAAGTAAATCATAAAGAGAAAGACATATACCATATGATACCACTTATATGTGGAATCTAAAATGATACAAATTAATCTATGTACAAAACAAAAACAGACTCACAGACAGAGTATAGACTCGTGATTGCCAAGGGGGAGAGGGTTGGAGGAGGGATGGTGTGGGATGTTGGGGTTAGCAGATATAAGGAATGGATAAACAACAAGGTCCTTCTGTATAGCACAGAGAACTATGTTCAGTATCCTATGATGAACCATAATGGAAAATAACTTTAAAAAAGAAAAATTCTTCACTAATGTATTTGTTATATGGTTATATGATTTTGTTACTGATTAGACTCAATATTATTTGTTAAATCAATTGTTGTGAGTTTATTTTCAGAGATCTTCTTTTTCTATTTTACAGGAAGGAAAATTAGAAGAGGTGAATACAATCTTAGCCATTCATGACAACTATAAACACGAATTCTACAATGATGACTCTTGGGTTGAATTTATTGAACTAGATATTGATGACCCTGATGAAAAGACTGAAGGGTCAGACACAGACAGACTTCTGAGCAATGACCCTGAAAAATCACTCAATATCTTTGGGGCAAAGGATGACGACTCTGGGCGTACCAGCTGTTACGAACCTGACATTCTAGAGACTGATTTCCATGTCAGTGACATGTGCGATGGTACCTCAGAGGTTGCTCAGCCACAAAGGTTAAAAGGGGAAGCAGATATCTTGTGCCTTGATCAGAAGAATCAAAATAACTCACCTTCTAATGATGCTGCCCCTGCTAGCCAGCAGCCCAATGTTATCCTAGTAGAGGAAAACAAACCAAGACCACTTCTTATTGGTGGAACTGAGTCAACTCATCAAGCTGTCCATACACAGCTCAACAATCCAAGTTCATTGGCAAACATTGATTTTTATGCCCAGGTAAGCGACATTACACCAGCAGGGAATGTGGTCCTTTCCCCAGGCCAAAAGAATAAGACTGGGAACCCCCAGTGTGACATGCACCCAGAAGTGGTCACACCCTGCCAAGCAAACTTCATCATGGACAACGCTTACTTCTGCGAGGTAGACGCCAAAAAGTACATTGCCCTGGCCCCTCACGTCGAGGCTGAATCACATGTAGAGCCAAGCTTTAACCAGGAAGACATTTACATCACCACAGAAAGCCTTACCACTACAGCTGGGAGGTCGGGGACAGCAGAACATGTTCCAAGTTCTGAGATACCTGTCCCAGATTATACCTCCATTCATATAGTACAGTCTCCACAGGGCCTTGTACTCAATGCGACTGCCCTGCCCTTGCCTGACAAAGAATTTCTCTCATCATGTGGCTATGTGAGCACAGACCAACTGAACAAAATCATGCCATAGCTTTTCTTTGATTTCCCATGAGCTACCCATTGAATGGCACAGAGTTGGCTGGGGCACGAATGCTTAAACCAAAACAATGTTTAAACTTTTGGGGGGAGGGGGTGAGTTGAGGGTGGGGAATATGAATTCTAAATGCCTTTTCCTGAAATGTTGAAACGTGATATTAAAAAAAGAAGAAGAATCCTTAATCAGATAGATATTCCTGTTGTGAATTGTAAATATTTTAAAGAACTGTCTCAAAGACTGTTTAGTGGCAGTAATTGTCTTGTTATTGTGGGTGTTAATTTTGTGCTACTAAGCATTGAATGGCTATGTTTTTTAATGTATAGTTAATCATGCTTTTTGAAAAAGCGAAAAATCAGGTGGCTTTTGCAGTTCAGGAAGATTGAATGCAAATCATAGCACAGGTTAATTTTTTTAAGAATTGGGAACTAAAATTATAGGTAAGAAGACAGGAAATAGTTTGGATATGTAAAACATTTATTTTGGCATAAAATGGATAAAGATATTTTTAATAATTTACACTTTAAGCATGGCTATTTTCTATTACACTGTACACGGTGTACTGTAGTTCATGCCAACCCATCTAAAGAATGTAATAACTGCAGTCTAAAGCTGGTTTAATGCTTTGGTCAATGCACCTGAAGAAAAACTAGTTTTTTACAAGCCCCTTTTTATACCTCCTAAAACTAAGTGATTCTGAAATGATTGTAGTTAGCTGCATTATTGGAAAGTGCTCATCTTATCTGAATTTGTAAACAAATATTTGTTAATTTAGAAAACTTTTAAATGTTTGCACAAGTCAACTTACCATGAACCAAAAAAAAAACAAAACCCACAGAACAACAACAACAAAAAACCTTTTCTTACCCAAGTTTTGGTTCATGTCAGAGGGCTACATACTAAGAGAAGTAGAAATTACAGCTCGTTCCTATTGACCAGGATGCTTAATCACTGCGGTACCCTGGGAAAAAGTGTCTTAGTGCATGCATATCATGAGTCAAGCCTTAGAACCTCCACCGCAATGTCTTGTATTTCATATTTATCTAAGGAAGGAACAGGAATAAGAAGCATTTTGTAAGTTGAAGCTGGTCAAAGTGAAGTTAACCAGATTATGGAATAAAAGTTCAGGAAGTAGGTTTTTCTTTCATAGCCGATAGCCAGACACATACTCATTGTTAGTGATGATGAGAAACAAACAAACAAACAAAAAAACCAAGATTTTAAATCCCGAAAGATAACTCAAAAATTTATTAAAACCCATAGCAGAAACTTTCTTCCTCACATTTTTTGTAGGATTTATTTGAAGCAGTAAAATGAGTTTCATCATTTTTTACCTCCCTTCTGAGTGAATTGGCCTTAAAGCTGGTAGTTAGAAGAAAAAGGGGTCTGAGTAATTTATAAGTTATTGCTCAATCCCTTAATAAATTAAACATCATTCACAGGAGCATTGGGATTGCTCCACAAAATGTTTGTCAAAAAGAGAAAACTCATCTCACCCGTGAATGCTTCTCACTTTAAGTATTTTTTAAAAGTTAATAAAACTTTAAAGTTAGCTTTAACTTAAAAAGCATATTTGCCATTTAGCTCAGATCTTTTTAGAAAATAAGCTTAATGGTTGGTAATTTTAAATTCCTTCTTTCTTGCAGGAAGGACAGTGAAAAATTAGAATTGGGTGTTTAAAGTTCAACGTGTTACTTGTAATAAATGTTCAATAGGTTTTCTGCTATCTTGCTGCTATGGTTTTCTCTAAGAGCTACATAATTTAGTTTCATAGACAATTTCATCTATGTAGAACCTAATTCAACTTAAAACTGTGTGTTTGGGGAAACTATCTTACCATTTCACAGTAGGCTGACAACATTTCTATAGCCAAAAATAGCTAAATACCTCAATCGGTCTCCGAATGTCATTTTGGTACTTTGCTGGCCACACAAGCCATTATTCACTAGTATGACTAGTTGTGTCCTGCAGTTTATATTTAACTTTCTTTATGTCTGTGGATTTTTTTCCTTCAAAGTTTAATAAATTTATTTTCTTGGATTTGTGATGGTATCCTTCTGTTAACAAACACCACAGAAAAACATCCTCAATCAGACTGCATACTCTTGAGTTCTTCTCCTTGTAAGGAGAACTTAGCACAGTAGCTTAAACATAGTAGCAATGTGTGTGATTTTTGATCTGGGCTGAAATACAGAAGCAGAGGAAACAGCTCCTTACTTCTTTTTTTTTTTAAGGAAACAAGAGCCCAGCACAAAAATATCCTGCTGGCTTTCCTGGGCTCTTAGAGCCATATTTTGGATGCATCAAAGCATGCATGACACACGTGGGGGTGTGTGTTTGTGAGAAGGGGCAGAGCTTAAGCCTGTTGCCTGGAAGGGAAAAACAGCTCTCCCTCTACCGTTCACCCATTAGAACAAGTCAGTTTGTCAGACAAGCTCCTTGTCATAATGGGAAGCTGATAAGAAGTCAAGACTGGGAGGGAAGCTAGTCAGGCAGGTTGTGTAGGACCCTGCAAACAGGAAAGCCATGAGGCAGAGATTCTTCCACAGGAGGTTCCAGCTCCTGGAGAGGTGAAACTGTGATAAAATCAAATGCCATACACACCAGGTGGGCAACCCACAAACAGAAAAATGATTATATTACAGAGATTCTCCCACAGGAGTGACAGTGTTGAGTCCTGCATCAGGCTCCCTAGCCTGGGGGTCTAGCATTGGGAGGAAGTGCCCCCAGAGCATCTGGCTTTGAAGGCAACTGGGTTTGATCACAAGGCTTCCACAGGACTGGGGAAAACAAATTCCACTCTTGGAGGGCACATACAAAGTCATATAAGCATATACAAGGTCTTGAGAACCCAGGAGGAAAAGTAGTGACCTCATAAGACCCTGGGTCAGACCTACCTGCTTGTATTGGAAGGTCTCCTACAGAACCAGCAGCAGGTGGCTGTGACTCACTGCAGGGACAAAGACACTGGTAGCAATAGTTCTGCAGGGTACTATTGGCATGAGCTCTCCTGGAGGCCACCATTTTCTCACCAAGACCTGGCCCCACCCAACTGCCTATAGGCTCCAGTGCTGAACACCTCAGGCCAAACAACCAACAGGGTGGGAACATAGCCCACCAATGAGCTGGCAGGATGCCTAAAGTTTTACTAAGCCCACAGCTGGTCACTAAACACAACCCTTGACATGGCCCTGCCCAGAGGAGGAACAAGACCCAGCTTCACCCAGCAGTGGACACAAACCAGTCCTCTCCCCCAGGAAGCCATCACAAGCCCCTGAGACCAGCCTCATCCACAAGGGGACAGATCAGCAGAAGCAAGAAGAGCTACAACCCTGCATCCTGCAGAATGGAAGCCACAAAAACAAAGATGGCAGAGGAATATATCCCAGATGAAGGAACAAGATAAAACCCCAAGAGAACAACTAAGTGAAGTGGAGGTAGACATCTTCCTGAAACAGAATTCAGAGAAATGATAGTAAAGATGATCCAAGATGTCCAAAAAAAGAAGAACAGGGGTACAGAAAAAGAAGATACAATAAATGTTTAGTGAAGAACTAAAGAGCAGAGATGAACAATACAATAAGTAAAATTAAAAGTACACTAGAAGGAATAAACCCCATAAGAAATAAGGCAGGAGAATGTATATGTGAGCTGGAAGACAAAATGGTATAAATCACTACTGTGGAACAGAATTTTAAAAAAGAATGAAAAGAAATGAGGACAGTCTTAAGAGACTTCTGGGACAATATTAAATTCACTAACATTAGCAATATAGGGGTACCATAAGGAGAAGGGAGAAAGGACCTGAGAAATAATGGAAGAAATAATAGCTGAAACTTTCCTAACATGGGAAAGGAAACAGTCACCCAAGCCAAGGAAGCAGAGACTCCTCCCAGGAAGGATAAACCCAAGAGGGAACACACATAGACTTTACAGTAAGCAAATTAACAAAAATTAAAGACAAAGTGATAATACTAAAAGCAACAAGGGAAAAATAACATACAAGTTTATCAACTGATTTTTCTAGCAGAAACTCCACAGAAGGTCAAAAGGGAATGGCAGGATATATTTAAAGTGATGAAAGGGAAGAACCTACAACCAAGAAGACTCTTGTTCAGTTTTGATGGAGAAATCAAAAGCTTTACAAACAAGGAAAAGCTAATAGAATTCAGCACCACCAGATAAAACCAACTTTGCAACAAATGCTAGAGGAACTTCTCTAGGTGGAAAGGTCACAACTAGAAGGAAGAAGATTGCAAATGGAAAAGCTCACTGGTAAAGGCCAACATTCAGTAATGGTAGAAAATCATTCACACATAAATATGATATCAAAACCAGTCATCATGAGGAGAGTACAAATGTAGGATATTGAAAATGAAGTCTTTAAAAAACAGCAACTTAAAACAACCTTGTTTATAGATATAGACTGCTATATCAAGACCTCATGGTAACTGCAAACCAAAAATCTATGATAGATACACAAACAAAGAAAACACAAGAGTAAATTTAGTCATTACAAGAGAAGAGAACAAAAGAGGAAGGGAAGAAAAAAGACCTACAAAAACAAATCCAAAACAATTAACAAAATGGCAATAAGAACATACATATAAATACATGTTGAATGTAAACAGATTAAATGCTCCAACCAAAGACACAGACTGCCTAAACAGACACAAAAACAAGACCCATACTATGAGACCCACATCAGATCTAGGGACACATACAGATAGAAAGGGAGGGGATGAGAAAAAGTATTCCATGCAAATGGAAATCAAAGGAAAGCTGGGGTAACACTACTTAAGACAAAATAGATGGTTAAAAAAAAAAATACTCTTAAAAAGGACACTACATAATGATCAAGGTACCAATCCAAGAAGATGTAACAGGTATAAATACATATGCACCTAACATAGCGGCACCTCAGTACATAAGGCAAATACTAGCAGCCATAAAAGGAGAAATAAACAGTAACACAATAATAAAGGAAGACTTTAACA